GTGGCACAAGTTGAGTGAGGGTGCTCGGTAATGTGTACCCTAGCACCCACACCCAGATCCCGCCCCCAAAAGTCCAAGTATTCAGGATTTTAGATGTACCTAAATCCGTCGTGCTAGCTTCACATCGATGGTGTCTAGTTCCCCTCAGGGATGGTAGAAAAAAAAATGGTCGAAATATAAAAGTCATAGAAGCAGTTTGAAATGTATATAGTCTGACTCAGTTTTTTGTTCTGATTTCAAATATGGCATTTTTTAAAAGTCAAACGTAGTACTTTGCCTGAAAACCGTCAAGAAACAGGCAAATTGACTGTCCAGCACAGCAGTGTAAGCAAAAGTGATTCTTAAGACATCGAATTCTAAGTTGAAAATGGTGTCATCAGAAAGAACACATTAAACTACCTATTCAGTGAAAAAAATCAGGCTGGTGTGCCCGGAAAAACTATAACTTCGAAAGACTCGAAAAATCAATATTTGTACCAAATGACCCAATTGGGGCGGTGTTTGGCAATAATCGATAGAACAAAATTCCAATGTCTAAGATATTCTTATAGATTCTGATAGAGAAGCAAATTCTCTATCTAATGAGCTTATTTTTGACTAGTTTTGTTCGAACCTTGACGGACTTTCAAATCTAAAACTGATTTTTACGGCTTCCAAAGAGTACTTCAGATCTTCGTTATTATCCGAGCACTTTTGAAAAGTAATATGATATTTGTAATCAGCACACATAGCGCTATCGAATCAGATGGATTTCTAATGAAGTGGGAAAAAAACGTTTTTTCGAACCCTGGGGGGACTCCAGGGGTCAAAAAATTGAGTTGTGATAAAATGCAAAATAAACTTGTGAAAAATAATCAGGGATCAATGCTGATTATCGGGTTAATAAGATTAGGCCGAAATTATTTGAGATGCTATATCCGTAATTTGACACACCTCCTTTGGAGTATGATTGACGAATATCATCAATTTGTAAATAGTTTTACTTTCGACAGACCGATAAAGGTTTGAATTAGACAAAAAAGATCCTTATTTTTGAGGAAAGGATGTCTATCAGGGAATACACATCACAATGCGCTAGCAGAATATACCTATTCTGCTACCTGAGGAAAGAAATATGAAGCAGAAAGACTTGAATAAAGTTTTAATTCGCTCAGTTTTTAGATCCTCTCAACGATGAGCGTGCATAACATGATATATTGTTTTCCGCTTAGTTTCCCAAGAAGATAACATCATGTTAGATTCACATTCGGCTCGTTGAAGCTTCACGTTTCATAATTTCCAACTTTCGGCTTATTTCATTCGAAACTATTATGTTATATTCTCTATCAGGATTAAAAACTCTTGTGATTTATCAAAGCTACCACGAAGTTGGCTATTATTTGCCTTTTCGTGCGTAAATTGTGAAAGAAATTTGATGTCTCATTTAGAAATGAGTTACATTCCACATCTCTACATTATTTTCTTAGAGCAATGGTTTTAGAAATGTTAATTGAATGAAGTCGCATCTGATATGTATGAACGCGAGCTATAATTTCAGTACTTTTTACATATTCACATTAATTAATTCAGGGATTTTCATTGGATTGTCAGAATTTCTATGGGATTGTCAATCCTGGAAATCCGCCGATTCCCCCTTGATGCCTCAAGATATGTATGAAAAAAAAGAGATCGGAAAGGGAAAAAAAGAAGATTTGCTGTGTAAGCACGCATTCCATACCTTTTCTCCTATTCCTTACCTATTCATAAAGTACAATGGTCATGTGTAATTGAGTTTTTCTGTCCAACAGACCGTGAAAGTGACCATTTAAATATGACGATCTTATATTAAACTTGATTTCGATTGATTATAATCACATTAATCAATTAAGTATTTATTCACTAGAAATGATTAGTTACTAAGTAGTGTTTTTTTCTGGTTGCTGTTATAAAAGTTTTTGCTCAGAAAAAGAAATGTAGATACAATTATCTCAATTGAAAAACAACACAAATAAAACAAAACATTGGCTCATGTTAAAAGGCTTTTGCAAGTTATACTTCTGAGAGCACATACGTTTTGTCAACGTCAGTTTGGTGTTGGTAATACTTTCGTTTTTAATGCTCATCACAAAGCACTTTTGCGTCAAGTATATTTTTAAAAATCGAAAGTAAATGTGATATCTGTTTGAGCATAAGAAAAACATCATTGTATGTTAAAGCTGACAAGCGAAACATTACTGTAAGTCAAGTTATGATTTAGTTTGAATCATTCAAGTTAAGAAATTCTTACGAAAAAATGATTTGTTGAAAGTGTTGAACGGAAGTTTCGAAGGAAGCCGCAGTAGTAGAAGCAAAAGTTCATAACGATGATTTTGAGTGTCTGCACGATCTTGAGTCAATGTGCTATGCAGACGATTGTGTGGAGGATCAAGAATTTTATAATCAACTGCCTTTTAATTCTTCAATTGATAAAGAAAAATTTAATGGATAAATAGCAATTTTGAACAGTTTTCTTTCTGCTTGTGGTAGCAGAAGAAAACTTAATCTAACGACGTCTAATAAAGATTTATTCATCGTGTCAAATATAAATAATCTTGGTTTAGCAAGATTTACAGTTATATCAGTTGCATTTTTGATAGCACCGAATGATGCCAATATTCTAATACGTGGTTTGTCAAATAATGAGTTGTATTTCCGGTGCATATGTCAATGCGAAATCGTGACAAACAAGACGAGAGATTCGCTCAATTGTTGTTAGTTATAGATATTATTCTACTGCAAGTTCGCATGCTACCAAATATGGTGTCAGTTCGAGAGTTGAACTAATATCAAAAGTTGTAGAAACGATTTGATGGTCATAAAATTGCTCACTCATTTGATTTTATTGTTTCACCACAAGTGTGTACTGATTTAACCCTTGGTGAAAGTGTTGAAGTTGTCGTTTGGAGTTGAACTGTTCATTTTCATTGCAAAGCAGAATATGGGAGCAACTCGTATCATCAATCAGTTTCTCAAGTATTATCAAGAGATGTGTTCAAATTTTGAGCCACTTGCTAAAAGTAGTTTATTTACTATTCTCGAAATGTGTAAAGCATTAACAAGAAAGTTTTTACAAGATATCAATTATATTGCAGTTGAAGCTGATGAAGCGTTTCACAGCATAAGAAGAACTATCGAAGATAAAGTCATTCTGTTTCGTGATAGTGATTAATTCATTGATAGTTTCAAATGTGCTTGATTTTATTTGAAATTTGGTTATAAGATATACGTAACGAAATCGAGTAATATTGCTGATCGTTGTTGTGCTTATTCATTGAGCGATCCCAGAGAATCTTAGATTGAGTATTCAAATCTAACAAGCAGACTCAATGAAATGGAACGATTTATCGTGAAAACAGAGACAAACCAAAGGTTATCATATCAAACTTTATAAGAATTCCAATTATACCGTGAATTTATTAAAACATGGAAAGCTTGCTTACTATGGTCGATTAATCAAGATTTGTGTCGAGAAAATTTACTTGATCAACTGTCTAATGATGAAATTGATATCGACCTTAATTGAGTCATCAAGTTTCTTACTGTTAAAAATCGGAAGCCACAGTCGGAGCTTTTCAATAAACGAGGTAATAGCTGGCATACTAATGTTCTAATGAAAAATTATGGTATAGCATTCGAAACGAAAACAATACTTTTGATAGAAACAGCGATATGTTAGATGATAGTCAGCAAATCAATGAATATGAAATGACTGATTGGTCTAAAGAAAATGACGATGAGAATAATCTCAGCGGTTTCTTTACACTCCTCCTCCATCTGTACTATTTTTTGTTCGCCACATCGTTGTCTTTCTTCATTTTTCTCTCGTTTATAAACTAGTATAGCATTTGCAGTATATACATTCTGGATACATAAGGTAACTCAAGAAGGATCATTGCTGATGGAGACGGTTAGCTACTTCTCCGGTTAGCCGTCACAGTAAACTTTTTTCTCAGTTTTTCTGAAAACAATACATGTGTCACTTGAAAAGATTTGCTTGAATTAGCTCACTCTTATTTGTCCAAATCAACTTATTCTAAATACGACGTAAATTATCAGACAATATTTCATGACCCAGCAACGAAATCATTCGATTTTTTTGCTACCCGATTCGAAATAGTCTTTCTCTCTTACCACTGAATTTTCGATAATGTTAACCGAATGAAACTTTACTCAATAAGGTAATTGGCTAGGGGGAGGCACATCGATTTCTATGCAAAGAAGACAGAATGTCAACAATTTTCTCGAAAATATAAAATCGAAAGCCGTATCACTCAAAAAATAGCAAAATTCAGTATCGATTGAAAATTTATTAATATAAAAGATTTTTCTTCAAATAAATATCAAACAGAAAATGTTTCACTACTAAGTCTTTCATTGTTTTTTTTATTGATAAAATAGAAGATTTCTATTTTCGACTTCGTCGATTAAATAATGTTTCTTCATCAATTATTCCCATAATAACATCTTTTTCTTCATTAATTTCATTAATAAATGATCGAATAGTATTCATAAATGGAATAGTATCTGTAGCTTTCTTTCCAACACTGGATGATGTATCAACATCTGTATTGCCATTGACCATAACTGTTGTTTTACTTCTATCGGTATCTATAAAGACGTCATCATCTAAATAAGCAGTGTCTGAAGGTGATAGCTTTGTTAATTGTTGATATAATCGTCCAAGAAAACCCGTTGATTTTTCAGGATTATTATCATTGAGATGAATATTTTCATTTAATTGGAATATGTTGAATATTTGTTTTTTTTCAACTCTATCTTTTCCTTCTTTCTCTTGTGTTCGAGTTGCTTGTTTAGTTAATAATGACAAATGATCTTGCATTTCAATATTTGATTGATTATTTGTTTTAAAATAAAGACCGTCAAATGAAAAAATATTTGAAGACAAATCTTTTGATGTTGAAAAATGATGAGATGCATGATTTTTTTCTAGAGGCGATGTACTCTAAATAATAGCATGGATGATAAACAAAAAAGAAATTTTTTTACTGAATATTCACCGTCCAAAATTCAGCTTCATCATCAGTTATCCAAGCTAAGGTTTCAACTTTCATATTACTATCGCTGATTGACATTATTTTGCACTGATGTCAATAAAAATCATCTAACATATGTATAATTATATGTAGCACGCATCACTTCTCTCGCACTTAGTGTTTGGAAATAAAAATTACCTTTTTTTTCGTTGCTCTTGTTTTGCATTAGAGAAAGAAACATTCGTCTACTTTTTTTTCGCATTGTTGCTTCAATAATAAAGCATATTTTTGTCCATTTTTACATCCAACTACATATGATAGTTATTTCTTTTAATGAGCAATCCATTTTCTCTCTCTGAACATTAACATACATAATGAAAAAAAAATCAATTTTTTTTTTCACAAGAAAAAAAACCATTTACTTCAAAAGTAAGCTAGGAGATTGTCGACATTTGCCCATTGTAACTCTTAGCAAAACTTGTTTTCGAGAACGGTCTTTAACATATTAATGAAAGAAAAACAAGAAAGATATATGAAAATATAGTTGAATAATAAGAAAAAATCAAATAAACACAATGAAGAATGAAAAGTTCTTAACTATTTATAAACAGATGTAGGAGTTATAAGAGCATCTTCTTTAACAGAATTTTCTTTTCCTGTCGACGATGATGATGGTGACATTTTTTGTGTCGCTTCTAATATTTCATTAGTTTTTACTTGTAAATTTGTTATGTAGTTCTAAAAAAAAGGAAATTAAATAAGAAAACAAAAAAAGAAAAAGAAAAAAGAAATCAAAACTTGTGCTTGAATTTGTTGTTGTTGTGCATCATTAATGTATGATTGAATTCTTTTTTCTTCATCACATAAGTCTTGTTCAGTTTTTTTAAATGAATCTATTTCTGCTTTTCCTATTTGCATTGTTTCATCTAAACGAATTCGAACTCTATCTAAAACAGCTGTTTGAACAGAATCTCGATAAATATCTTGAGGAATTTGTGTTTGTGGATATCCATATGGATATGAATATGATGAATTTCCACCAGTAGTCACTCCCGTTCCCATTGGTGTTGGCATTGGCATTGATGATTCATTTGTTGGATATGGTGTTGAACGACTAGCTATATTCACATTTGAATATACTGGAGGTGATTTACTAAATGCTTTAGAAATGCATTTAATAATAATAAAGTACATCATCATTTTTCTACATACTGTTGTTCAGTATGATACACTTAATTTTATCGAACAACAGTAACAATTCATTGTCTTTTGTATAATTTTTCGTACAAAATGAAAAAAAAAGCGGACAGGTCAGAGGGAAGCAATACCAATTCGTTCAACTATGTATTCTCTCTTAATCAATTTATCTTTGTTCGCTTTGTGCCTGATATTTGTATATATAAGTGAATTGCAACCTGCTGGTACGATTGAGATTTTAGATGTATTTACGAATAACTTTTGTTCTCGTTGTCCAACTTGGACAATTTTCAATATGCTATTACTCTCTGAGTATCCTACACTTACACTGGGTTTCAGCTCTTCAGTTCATACCGTCAAGGACTTATGAGTCTTATACCATGAAAAAATCGTATTTTTTATGTAGGTGTACTAATAAAAGAATATTTTTAAAGTAGAGAAAGAAAGAGAAAAAACGTGATGCATAGTCTGTTCTATATAGTTTGAAATGTTCTATTTAATGATGCATCTTTTGTATTTCTCTCTCCCTCTTGTGACATTCATTCACTCGACATACTTAATTACAAACGTTCTTTCATTTTCACCTAGAACGACCTTATCTCTAAATTTCTTTTGTCTATGTCAAAGTCGAAAAAAAGCAAAGGTATATAAAAGAAAGATCATCGAAATACGAACGAAATAATTGAAAAAATTCTGCTGGATGAATTTCCGTTTCGGTGAAAAAAATCGATTATTTCCTAAAAAATTCGAGTTTTGCTCACCTTGCAGGACGACGTTTAGAAAACTTAGATGTTAATAACTTTCGAACAACTCATCCGTTTTTGCTTAAATTTTAACCATGAGTATAGTTCTCTAAGTTACATAAGTAATTAAAATTTCAGTCGTCTATCTCTCATTGTTCTTGAAAAATTCACATTATACGACAAAATGTAGAACGACTTTTTCCATGTTAATTTTCAACTAAAAGTGGGTCAACGTCAATGGTATTTTACATCATTCGATTTGTTTTGTGGTGAAATGTTTCCCTATTTTTATTCCGAATATTAATTCTGAATTAAAACATAATAGTATCTCATAGCGTTTACGGTGACAACTGCAAATTTTATAAAACGACATTTTTCAAATGATATTGCAAGCAGTCGTGAGTCGACATAGATTGAAATCTATATCGTTGTACTCGTTTCATGTTGGAGGTTAATTCGACTACTATTGCAAACGACGATTGTGATTTAAAAAGAAGTTTCACACGTAGAATTTCGGTGTCGTACAACCGATTTTTCTATTAAAGCAAAGTTCTTCACGTTATGCTTACACTGATGTACAGCGCGTTGCGGCTAATATGCAGTAAAGCGTTAAAACACTATTGCTATGTAACAAAGGCATAAAATACAATAGAAAATATAATTTAGAAATGAGCGTTATTCCCAATTCACTTATAAGCCCTATCCAATGGAAATAAGGGTGAATGTGTATCGTTTGTTGCTAAGAGCGGTTATACTTCTTTGATTTTTTTTCAATACATATTCATTTCTTTTTCCTTCTCGAACATATCGCTTATTATGTGGTCAATCTTTCGCTCCTTTGATCGTTCCGTTGCTCTTCTCTAACTCAGTGTAATCGACTGATGAAACTTCGAAAAAGACGCTATATTGATATTTTATGAATCGTTATTATGAAACAGAAGTGTCATTTACTGTAAATGAAATCGCCATGACTTTTAATATATATATTTTTTTAAAAGAATCTTCAAATAGTGATATCAAAAACCATTTAAA